ATCTGCCTGACAACAAAGATAGCATCCATTGTCCCTCTCCCAGGCATAAATCCAAATTGCTGTTCACCAATCTCTGTTTACTGTCTTATCCTTCCTTCTACTAGAATGTCCCTAAGAAAAAATAATGTAAATTATATACCATTGTTTGAGGATCAGCGATTGTTGGAGAAGTTCAGCCATTTTTGTTGATTAGAGGTTTACCCATAATTAATCAATTTCTTGTGTTTCAAATCAATTTTCCTTCTTTCTTTTTTTCACTGGAAGTTTATACTATTATAAAGCATAACAAAGATATTATAATATAGCTATTAAAAACTTTCAAGAGGAAAACAAAAACTTTGGAAAGATACAAATTTAATTTCTATATTTATGCCGAAGAATGTATGGAAAGCAATATTCATTCACTCGCACCAATAACTTTGCATTATTATTCAGCTAATGGCAAACTGACACATTTAGATTTACCTTTGAACAACACCCAAACTCAATCTAATGTTTAGTTGCTTGATGTGCTGAAAACCAGTTACTAAGAAATGTCGAATTTAACTTCTCTATACAAATACAAGTGTAAAACAACCCAAATTCATTAATTTTCATTTTTTATCATATATATTTTTATCGTGTAAGTAAAAGAATTATTCTTAAGATGTTTAAAGGAAATACCCATCTGGTTCAAAGCAGTTCAAATCTACGTTCTTGTTACTTGTTTTAAAGTGATTTTTTGTATTTATTTTCATTTTGCTTCACACGCATTTACACTGAACCACATAAATAAGCATTAAAAATACCTTTGAAGTTTATTCATTAACAGTATATATATGTATATATATATTACTATTTTTCTTTTGTTCACAGAACAAGACAGAACCTGGGATCTTAGATATGGACGGAAATACAGCTTTGATGTATGCTGCCATGCGTGGCCATGGAAGCATCATCTCCATCTTCACCAATATCTTTAAACATCAACGGAAGGCCTTACACTTAGGCCAGAAGAACATCCAGGGACTGACAGCCTTACAGTTGGCTTCTAAGAATAAACATGACGGGTGTGTAAGACTACTTACAAGAGAGGCACAGCAGTTTCCAAATAGTTTGGTTGGTGAATTTCCAGATCCAAAAGAACTCGAAAGGGCACCCACACCAACGAAGAGGAAACACAAAGGTTTCAAAATGTATTTTTCGTCATTAGAAGAAGGAAAAATACACGATATGATTCCAGAAAATAAAACTGATTTTTCTTCCTCAATCACTGATGACATGACCAAGAAAGAAAATGAGAATATTTCTGGAATAAACTCACCCAGCGATGTCTCCCAACTGCCACACATAAATACAACATCTTCCACTGGGTCTTTGGGATCTGGAAGTACTTTCTCCCTATTCGAGCTTAGAAAAGACTTTCCTCCGATTTCTAAAATACAATCCGAAATAGAAAAAGAGAAAAATACTGCAACATCACTTGTAGATGGAATTCAGGGTGTAATTAAAAGTGACCCAAATCTCCAAGACCCAATGACACAAGCTGAATTGATAACTGAACCTACAAACATGTCATCTGAACTATCGTCTGAAAAATGCTCCATACTCCCTTTGTTAGCCTTCCAATCTGTTACCCAACTTAACGGATCCATCACCAGCACGACCAGTGATGCTTGGGACTGGGATCTTGCTACACACAAAAGGTTCACTGAAAAATACCGACTGGACACAGGCAGCCGAAGTCTATCTGAATCTCGAGGAAAACTCACAGACAACCTAGAAGCTGTGAAAGAAAAACTATTCAACAGTTCCGACAAACTTCACGAAATCCTACCGAAAGATAGCACGTTGTCTAGTCTAGTGGGAGAAGCGGCCTCGAGCTCTTCATCACAAGGAAAATTGTCTGTGAATGTTAACATTCTATCTCCTCTCCCTCCTGGACTGAAAGACGGATTTCATCTTCCTCCTATTAGAAACACCCTAGAGCACTACAAGCGTGGAAATTTAGCATCTTTGGATACCAGTGAACAAAGCCCAATTAAAGAAGAGGAGGAACAGAGTAGAGTTTCTCAGTCCTCAAAATCAGGGTTTACGCTAAAAGAAATTAAAGTATGATCAAACTTGACCTCAAAGTAGATTAAATTTACAATCATGTTACTTTGTTGGAAATAGCTTGTATTCGAGAAACTTGAAAAGCAAAGCTACCTTGGGTTATATGTTGTGTCTGCCGAGAAGAAACGAACCCTATATTTTAGCGTTGTAAGTCAGTAAACTTACTGTTGTCCCACCAGGTGACCCAAGAAGTGACACTTGTAAATTATTTGAAAGCATCAAGTGCGTATTGCGTGACGACGACAATAAAATTACGCGACTTTCATACCCAATCAGTGAATCAGATTAAACTTTTACGTACCTGTGCAAAAAAAGATTAATGACAATGCTTAAAGATAGGCCTGTAAATGAGAGAAGCCTGATGAATTTACTTAATTTAAATTTTATTCGAGACTTTCGACAATATAATAGCATATTTGCGGCCACAACACTGCTTAAGGTAAAACACAACTGAATGTTGGCTGGTTTGTGTTGTCTCTTTCCGTTGTTTAGAAATAAAGATCCTAAAGTAGCATCTTTATCTCACACGAAAAAGTTTATAAATATGGATAAAGTAAAATAGAATTATTAACATTATCTTCAAAAATGGAAATATTAATTTTAGATTTTTTTATCTAGAGTATGTCGTTCTCTTTATAGCTTATTTTAGACACATGTGAAACGTTTTTTTTAATAAAATAATGTTTTTTTCTTTTTTTTTAAATTGGGAATCATTTATTGAAAATGTATTCATATTCCACATGAAAACATTGTTAATAAACTAGAGCATGCTTTTAACAGATTAACAAAAATTGTTTAATCAAGCTTACTCATAGGTGTCGGAACATGTGGGGGAAGCGGTCTAGGATCCCCTTTTATCTTTTACAAAGGAGGTAGCACCCACTTTGCCCCCCCCCCTAAATTTCGATAGGTTCATAATTTCCTCAACTTGAACTAATTTTTCAGTCCGAAATGGCTCACTATAATTAGATGAGTATTTTTAAATTTGTAAATTGATTTAGCAGCTGGAGATAAAGAGCCCAAAAGTTTGTTTGTTTGTAACTAAGCACAAAACTACACAATGGGCTATCTGTGCTCTGCCCACCACGGGTATCGACACCCGGATTCTAGCGTTGTAAGTCCGCAGACATACCGCTGTGCCACTGGGGGCGAGCCTAAAAGATTATAGAGATTAAATCCTTCCGTGTTAGGCTTTCTTTTTGGAAATGAGCTAAAACAAAAATCAGTTTTTATTTTGCTTTTTGATAACTTATACCTTCCTGTATATTAATGAAACAAGTTCTTTTATGATCTGTTATATTTCTGCTCACAATATACTTTAAATATAACTCCATTAAACAAACTATTCGAAAATTGTATGTACTTGACATTTTGCATTAACCTTGCGTATGTGTGTAATACTAAATTTCCGTGGGCCTGGTGGTTCGAGCGTCAGACTCGCGATCTGAGGGACACGAGTTCCAATCCCAGTTACCGAACATACTGTGTGGTTGTCGACTGAGCCAGCAGCCCGGATGTAAAACTTCTTGGCTTACACAAATACCAGCCGATCCCAAACTAGTTGGGATTAAAGTCGTAATATAAAAAAAATCTTAATAAACACAATACACAAAATATTCACACATACATTTCAGTGAAGAGGTTAAACTAAACACATTTCGTACAGTAAATCTGAATGCCCGACAAGATAATTTTCTTTCACTTGTGGTGAAGGCCTGATTATGAACTAATTCTTAACAAAAGATTAAAAGCTTACTGCATGATTAGGCTTGGTAAGTACACTTAATTAAACCCAACAGATGAAACTGTATACTTAATGCTACCTGGCATACGGAACTATACACTTTATTAAACCTGGCATATAAAATCTATTTTATGTGTGTATGATAAAGGTTGCATATCTGACCTAGTAAGACACATTGTAAGATACGTTGTGTGAAACCCTAGTGCTAGCACCATAGACCCAATCCCTCCTGATAGTAAGATACATTACGTATTCTGCTGAGTGGAAATCTAGTGCTAACATCATGGAGCCAATCCCTCCTGACAGTAAGAATTGGTTTGGTTTGAATTTCGCGCAAAGCTACACGAGGGCTATCTGCGCTAGCCGTCCCTAATTTAGCAAAGGGAATGCAGCTAGTCATCACCACCCACCACCAACTCTTGGGCTACTCTTTTATCAACGAATAGTGGGAATGACCGTCACATTATAACGCCCCCATGGCTGAAAGGGCGAGCATGTTTGGTGTGACGGGGATTCGAATCCGTGACCCTCAGATTGCGAGTCGAGCGTCCTAACCACCTGGCCATGCCGGACCAACAGTAAGAGTGTTGAATATTTAACATAGTAAGCTAGTGAAGTTAGATTGAACTTGTGACACGTTAGTAATACTAGTAATAGCACGTTAAATATAATCTTAACTTCATTATATTTTACACTCAAAATTACAGTTAAATTAATTATCAGCTATGGTTAAGATTAGTCTAGCTACTAAGGGTTCTCAGTTGATAGAAGCCAGGAAAGTGTTTTATCTATAAACTCTAAAGTGTACTTTTAAGGAGGCTAGTAGCCAGGATGTACAATTTATATGCAAGGTGTGCAAGTTAGAGAAGTTGGACGGTCTTTTGGGTAGAGTTGCAGAGGTGGAAAGTGAAAAATGTAAATTGGTTTAAGTGGTGGCGAGGCTTAGTGAAGAACTTAAACTTCTACACTTAAAGGGTACATTTGGTAAACAGGATTTCAAGGGAGCTAAGAAAGGAAATAGGGCTAACAGCTTGGAAAATAATGCATTTAAGGGCAAGGAAGGGCTTGGGTTTAGGTTAAGCAACCAGTTCCAAGTATTTGCTGGTGATGAGGGGGAGCAGGTAAGGAAAACAGATGGAATCACAAGGGATTATATTGCAGAGGATATGGAAGTTATAGTTGTAGGTTACTCTCCAGTTATACATGAAGATAGAGTAGTATTTGGAGTAAATAGGAGCAAAAGAATACGCTTATGCTATCCAGGAGCAGGGTATATGATATAACTTATAGAACCACAGAGATAGTTAAGGGTACTAGTAGCAATTGGTACAGGATATAATTGATAGAATCAGAGAGATAGTTTAGGGTGCTAGTAGCAATGCAATTTTCGTGATACATATTGGGGCTAATGATGTAAGGAAATATGGATCTGAGGAGCTTATTGATAAGTATAAAACAGTGATAAGGGGATTTAAGGAAAGGGGTCATAGCTTGATTTTGTCAGGGATATTGCCAAGAATAAATTGTGGGAATGAGATACTAAGTAGGTCATTAGAATTGAATGCCAGGCTTAGATCAATATGTAGGAATGAGTAAATAGGCTAGTTGTATTTGTGGGATAATTTTAATGGGAAAGTTAATCTTTTTGGAATAGATGGCTTATACTTAAGGGGCTAGCATGTTAGCAAGGGCTATTAACTCAGCTGTAGTGGTTGATTTAAACTAGGGCTAGACAGAGATAAGGGCTATGATATTAGTAAAATAGGAAATATAATTGAGAGTAAAACATGTACAACAGGCATAAAACCTGAACGTATTTCAAAATCTATGATTAATTGTTACTACTGTAATGATAGGAGTCTTAGAAATAAAGTTGATGAATTCAAAGCAGTTGCGGAAACTGAGGATTTTGATATTGTGTATCACTAAGACTTGGTTGGATTTCAACAATTTTGATGAGCTAATATTTTTTTTTGAAATACCAAGCTGCAGAATATTTACTAGAGATAGAGTACTGAAAAAAGGGGAGGAGTAGCTTTATATTTGAGGAGTGAATTGCATCCTGTTGAGTTAGAGCATGTGAAAGAAAATAGCACTGAGGTTGAATCAGTTTGGGTTGGTGTTAGTGGATATAAAGGGAAAAGTCTTGTAATTGGGATTTGATATAGATCACTAGGTCAGAATGTGGAAGTTAATTAGAAACTGTAAAATGAGATCAGAATGGTGGCTGAAAAAGATGTTATTACGGGAGATTTTTAATTTCATGGGTAGTTGTTGGGAAAATTTCGAGCCTGACAGTGAGGGGGATAGGTTTTTGGAAATCGTTCAAGATACTTTTATACACAAACTGGTGATGGAACCTACAAGAGAGGAAACTGTATTAGATTCAATCTTAGCATATGATGTAAATATGATACAGAGTTGTGGTTGGTGAGCATTTAAGTACAAGCAACCATTGCCCTATTAGGTTTAGGATTTTACTACATGTAGAATTGAATAAGAATAGTACCTTGATTCCAAATTTCAGGAAAGCCAATTTTGATGGAATGAGACTAAAGAGTTGGGAGAGGATCTTGAACAGATGTGGGAAGCATTTATGGAAAAATTGATATGCATACAGAACATACATATTCCCTACGGAAAAAAGGGAGCAATGGAGCAGAATAAGCCATTATGGTTAAATAAAGCTTTAAAATATCATATTATGGATGAACAAAATAAATTCAAGAAATTTAAGCTTACTGGAAATAATAAGGACTTTGAGGACTATAGGAAATCAAGAGAGCTGGTTAAAAAGGAAGTTAAAAAGGCAAAAACTATATATGAAAGAGTTAAATCAAACAATAAGGAATTCTTTAGGTATATGATGGGTAAGCAAAATGTTAGGATGGGACTTCTTAAAAATGATAGTGGGGAACTGATCTCAGAAGATTATGAGATGGTAAACTTATTAAATTATATGTTCTCTTCAGTTTTTATGAAGGAAGATGCAAGTATTATGCCTTAACCAGAACACTTAATGTATGGGGAAAATATTGATGCAAAATATTTCATTTTAAGTTCCGAAATTGTAAGAGAAATAGTTGGGAAACCTAAAAATTGATAAATCCCCTGGACCAGACAACTTTTATACTAGAGTTTTATAGGAGCTTAAAGATTTTGTGAACCACTAGCTGATATTTTTTACAGGTCATTGAGTAGTGGAAGTTCACTAATATTAGTCCAATATTTAAAGGAGGTGATAAACATTGTCCAAGCAATTATAGGCCAATTAGTCTTACATCAGTAGTTGGAAAAGTTTTGGAGAGTGTGATTAAAGATAACATTGCAGAGTCACTTAAAGCAGTTTGATATAGCGTCAAAGAGCCAGCACTGTTTCACTAAGGAAAAGTATTATTTAACAAACCTTCTGGCATTTTTTGAATATGTTACTGTAAGAGTTGATGAAGGAAATACTATGGATTTGGTTTACCTTGATTTTCAGAAAGTGTTTGATAAGGTGCCTCACAAAAAGACTTGTTACAAAAATTAAATCTGTGGTTGGGGGAAAATTTTATTGAATTGGATAGAAAATTGGCTGGAGAGTAGAAAGCAGAGTTGTAGTAATAAATGGAGTCAGATCTGACTGGTTCACAGTTACAAGTGGTGTGCCTCAGGGCTCTGTGCTGGGTCCTCTGCTGTTTGTGATTTATATTAATGATATTGACTCTGGAATGACTTACAAAATTTTCAAGTTTGCAGATGACATTAAGATTTTTGCGGTGGTTAACTGTATCAAAGATGCTGCAGACTTAGAGAGAGATTTAGATCATTTGATGT